TCAGTGCTCAAAAGACAGGCTGAATCAAGTAAACAGGTGTTCAAAAGCATATAAAACCTTCTCATTCCAAGCAAGGTCGTATGGCAAACGGTGCAAGACAGAATTCCTACTAGGTTCAACATGTTTAAAAGAGGTAATGTGACAAGGTAGGAAACTATGACGGTCGGAAGCTACTGGGAGGCTTTTGAGCTCCATATCAATCTGTTTTCAGAGAGATCTGTGAGGGAACGATGGGGACGTGTTATAGTTTGCACTGATTTGGACTGTTTGGCTGGCTGAAGACAATTCTAGTGCTCGTTTCGGTGTGGTTGGAGTTTTAATAAAAGTTTTATTTAAAAAAAAACTATGATAGAAAGGCAGTTTTGTAAATAGAAAAAAAAAATGTTAATTTCATTAAAATTCAAATTAAAAGTTCCTACAGAAGTACCAATTCGATATTTTTAAAATTTGTAATGAAATGAACAAAATATTAACTTATAATAATTTATAATATTTTTTTAAAATTATAATATTTAATACAACTGAAACTTTTAAAATTTAAAAAACCTTTCCACTAACTGTACTACTACACGTAATAGTTTGAAGAGAACGAAGCCGGATCTAACAGTATTGGAAAATAAATTTTTTTGCACAGTTCTCGATAAAACAATATAGTCGGTTATAAACTTATAATTAGATATAAGTAGATATTGTTTCTTAATAAAACAACATACTGGTCAACCGGCCTGTGGCCTAATTGGTTGGCTCTCAAGCTTTAGGGTTTGGGTGAGGCGAAGGTCAAGACTTCGAGCTCTACCACCGCCGTGAATTCTATCAACTTGCGACCTAATAGTCGCGCGCCTCAAATGAGGGGTGGAAGGTTCACTTTCTTGAAAAAATTTCAACTGCTAACAAACTAACCCTACTAACTTCCTAACCATCTATCTGATAAAAAAAATAAATAAATAAAAATAAAACAACATACTGGCTTTGGTTTACAATGATATCTGTGTTTCTTTTTTACAAAATATTTTATTAAAAAATAAATTTTTAATTTTTAATTAAATTTTTTATATTTTTTATTAATTTTAATTAATATTTTATATTTTTATGATGATAAAAAAACCAAAAAAAAATTATAATTACAACTACATCATAGCATGCAACTCTAATTAAAGAAGCTTTTGACTTTATTTAATATGGTTGTAGCTTTAAATTTTGATTTTGATTTTAATTTTCAAAATTTTAAAACTTAAAATAAAATTAAATAGTTATATAAATTACTTATGATAACTTTATTACTCAATGCATGAAGATTGTACATTTCATATTTTTTTAAAATAAATAATAAGATTGTATAGTGTAGGGCCATCATAATTCGGCCTAATAAGAGGCCCGTCATAAGCCCAAAATAAGCCGTTCAACTAACGTCCGTTAAAAAAATTCTCAAGCCCCTTGCTTACTTTTAGCGTTGAGCATTTTTTAGTATAATTTGTATATGAGTTATATTTGATATTTAATTAAAAAAAATTTTGGTATAATTTTTTAGACATAATACTTAAATAATTGAAGACCTATATAATTGGCATCTAATCTAAATAGATCTCAAATAATTTGTAAGTATATATTTAAGTATTTGGTTTAAGAAAAGAAAATGATTAATATGAGATGTTATTATTACATATGTTATATATTTGGTTTAAAATTTATTATTTATATGAGTTATTATTAATTTGTTTGGTTTATATGCCTTAATTTTTATTTTTATTTTTTGTTTTTTTATTTTTTTTATTTTTAAAAATTATTATTATTAAAATATTAAATATAATAAGTACATGTAGATTTCGATTATATAGTATGTGTAATAGTGAATTAATCAAATCAATTAAACAAATCTAATAAACAATTCTAAACCTTAATATTTATTATTTAATTTGATATTTATGAGTATAATATTTTCGTATTTACTATTTGCCTATAATTTTTATAATTTAAGTATAATACTTATTTAAATAAAAAATAATCATAAATAACATTGTTTCCGTACCTAATACTCAACCCTACGCCGTCCAAATAAAGTCTATGTAGTAGGCCTACTTGCTTTCTTATAGTTAGGCCGTCCAAATAAAGTCCACGTAGTATGTATCTTTGTCGCCCACAAAATAGTTAGCCCGGCCCAATATCAATCTTCAGCTTCTTAATGTTTAGAATTAGAAGAATTGTTAGGCCCAATATAAATCAACCCTTTTGAGGCCGAACGGCCGGACTCTTAATTCGTCCTTACTTTGGCATTAAATTAGAAGATGATAATAAATGAGACTTGAAAATTTAAAATCAATAATATTATAGAATTATATTATTTAAAATAGAGTTTATCTAACTTGTACCCTAAAAGCATATTAATTATATCTTTTCGTCGTAAATTTATATTGAAAAAATTAAAGTCAATTTTTAATTATTAACTGTTTAATTAAATTTACTTGATACTAAAAATAATATCAATTTTTACATTTTTTATATATATTTAATACAAAAAGGTACTCTTAACATGTGCTCTCTTTTAAAATATTATTTATTTTGTTCTAAAATAATGGTTAT